GGTTATTAAGGCCTTTTGGATAAAATTGTGGTGGAACTTACAGCAAATTTTTAAAAGAAGAATTATTTTCTCACCTCAGTTGTTTCTCCTAGGTATCACACAAAATCTGGATGTAAAAGAAATGAATTTGATGTTGTATTGTTTAACTGCTGCCCGTTTGTTGATAGCTCAAAACTGGAAGAGTAAAATTTTACCTACAATGGAAGACTGGAGATTGAAAGTTTCGAACCTTGCTGAAATGGCAAAGATTTCGGTTTACTTGAAGAATCATTCAAACGAACAATTTTTATTAATATGGAGAAGATGGATTGTTTATATTCAAAAGAAGCATAGAGTGGTGGAATATAATCTAGGTTTTTAGTAAATTTGTTTTTCTTTTTTTTTCTTTTTAATATATTTTACCTATACATGTAGAACAATACATTTTGTGGAGTTAGAGATATTAATACTTGTTTACTTATATCTGAATATTATCCTGGGATTAGGTTTGGGAAGTCCGGGGGGGTGGGGGTGGGGTTTTTTTCATAGCATTGTGTAATATTTGTGATGGTTTTTTTATGATGAAAATAATAAAAAATTTATACATGAAAAAAAATAAAGTTGGAAGGGACCTTGGAGGTCAAATAATGACATTAAAAAATCAGTACAAACCAAAGTCAAAATGGGATCTAGACTCAATATGCATTATTATTATTATTATTATTATTATTATTATTATTATTATTATTATTATTATTATTATTATTATTATTATTATTATTATTATTATTATTATTATTATTATTCTTAAGCAAAAATATCATGAAATAAACATGAAAGATTTTTACCAAATATTAAATGAATGAACAAGCAGCAGGAACCATGATCCTGATACATAACATTATTAAGCAAAGGGATTCAGAGTGCATCACTTCTGTTGGCATGTACCTGCTAGACAGAAATCATGGGAGATAGGAGAGCTCTCAAATAACTTGGCCTTATTTCTAACTGTCTGCTTTCATACATGGCTGCTACAATCAAAGTACACTGCAATGCACCATTTACCTTTTCTGTACCCGTGTCAACACAATCGGTGGTATATATAGGGCAGCCACCATTATTGAAAAGACAGGGATTCCTGACTTGGCATACTCTCCCATTTCCTTGGTATCCCTCAGCACAAACACACTGATATTTGGTTTCCCCAACAGTCTTGCAAACAGCATGTGGGGAACATGGAGAGGAGTTACAGGGATCCTGGGCTGAAAATAAAGCAAATGAGAAATATTCAGAGCTATAATAATGCAAAGCCAACTTTCAATAATACTAGATTCTGTATCTGAAGAATCAAGCCTTTACCAACCAGAGGAATTAACTGTATCTTAAGATGCAAGCAATTCCCCAACTCTGACTATATGATTCTCCAGAACACCCAAAGACTATAGTGCTCAAACATGGAAGCAAAGCTTGAAATATCCAATCAATTTTCTCCATCATGTAGGATTTACCTCTTTATGTTTTTAAAACACTGGGAGTTGGGGTTAGGTCTACCTTAAAACCATTGGCCTAAATCAGACCCAAGTCCAAAGATATAATCCAATCCTTTATTTGCTACACCTAATGGCCAGAATCTTGCCAAATTAAAGATCTTCTAACGTAACAGTTGTATCTTGACAGATCTAGGGTGTAGCTACCCTGAACCTCTTTCTCCCTCCCCATCTCCCTCCAGTTCAGGATTGCAGTCCCTAAATTTGGGCTTCTCTCTGCCCAAAATCTCTTCCTCTGCTTTTCCAGATGCACATTCCTCTGCATGTCTTTCTCCAGAACAAGTGGGAATACTTAGCCCATTCTGGCTGATCTCAAAAAAGTCAGCCTAAATTAGACCTGCTTGCTCACTAGTTTATTTATCTGCAATCTAAGCTACTCCCAATTGAACCTGACTCTGAGTAGCACCTAATTCCACATCTTTGCATATTCAGATCACAGTAAAAACAAAATTAATGTTATATTATTTATATTATAATTAAAGTATATTATATTTATAAAATATAAATCATAACATGGGCCAAATTGATAGGAAAAATATTTTAAAAATGTAAAAAGAAGAACATCCCACTCAAAAGATCAGCAATTGATGCCTCTCATGATGCATGCCTCACTAGTCATAACATTCTGGTCCTAGGGCCATGTTTTCATGGACTTTCTGAAACCCTAAGAGGATGGAAGAAGCCATTCTGAAAACTGGGGACAAGCCATTCCAGAAAAGGGGACTTGCAGTTGCAAAGGTACCATCCAACTGTCCACGCAGATTGTAATCCCTGAAAAAAGGGATCCAGAATGAGGCTGTCCTGCTCAGTCTTTTAAGGCGAGCAGATATTCCTGGGAGAAGGCAGTCCTGCAGATATCCAGTCCCAAGCCATTTATTAATACTTGGATGACAGACAACTAAGAAATTTCAGGTGTGCAAAATAAAATATGAAGTCAAAAGGAAGAATGAAGTGGTAAACCATTGTGTAGACATAGAGTGAGGGAAAAAAATATTTGATCTCCTGCTGATTTTGTACATTTGCCAACTGACAAAAAAAATGATCAGTCTATAATTTTAATGGTAGGTTTATTTTAACAGTGAGAGACAGAATAACAACAAAAAAATCATTTCAAAAAAGTTATAAATTGATTTGCATTTTAATGAATGAAATAAGTATTTGACCCCTTCACAAAACATGACTTAGTACTTGGTGGCAAAACCCTTGTTGGCAATCACAGAGGTCAGACATTNAGGAAGTTTCTCCTTAGTTCTAGGTTGCTTCTCTCTTTGGTTAGCTTCCACCCGTTGCTCCTTGTCCTGCCTTCAGGTGCTTTGGAAAATAGCTTGACTCCCTCTTCTTTGTGGCAGCCCCTGAGATATTGGAACACTGCTATCATGTCCCCCCTCGTCCTTCTCTTCATTAAACTAGACATACCCAATTCCAGCAACCATTCCTTATATGCTTTGGCCTCCAGTCCCCTGATCATCTTTATTGCTCTTCTCTGTACTCTTTCTAGAGTCTCAACATCTTTTTTACATCGTGGTGACCAAAACTGGATGCAGTATTCCAATGTGGCCTTACCAAAGCATTGTAAAGTGGTATTAATACTTCACGTGATCTTGATTCTATTCCTCTGTTAATGCAGCCTAGCAGTGAATGAACAATGAACAATTTGTCCTTGTATGCAGGCATCTTGTATGCTTATGCTTGAATTGTTCATGTAGGTACCTTCTCTCCAGTTATTTAGCTTCCTGGGTATTACAGTGGGTTCTCACTCTGCCATATACTGTAGTGTTCTGACACAGTTCTTTTTGTGTCACAGTGGATGGTTACTGTTGAAACTAAGAATGTGTGGAGTGTTGGTGGCCTTATGATAAACTGTGGTTTCTAGGCTTCACCTTCTTTGCAAGTTCTGCAAATAATTATCCCTCTATCTCTCCCTTCCCCTCCATTGTAATTGTCTCTGAAAAACAAATGCAGTGAGTAAAAATACCAAATGAAAAGAGCACAAAGCTTTATGGAACTGATAATCCTGCTCAAGAAGGACTGTGGTAGTTTTACTTCAGACACAAATACCAGGAGTAATAAAGTAATAAGAGGTAAGAGTACTTACACTGATGTGAAATGGAGGAAAGATGGATCCAGTAGGCACAAGTACTGTGAAAGGCCCATAGTTCTCCAGGAGTAATGAACAACCCTTACCTGTTAAAAAATCCATACCACATATTCATTTTTAAAAAAACTTGAATATCATAAATAATCATACATATTACTGGAAGCATTTTCCTTAACAGAATATATGTCCTATTTGCAATGCCTTCAGCTAGATGTGGAGGTTGAAGTTTTTATGAAGACATCTTCATTATATTTCTGATTCTATCCCCTACTTGGGCAACTCTGAACTTGATTGAGAGGTTGAGGGAGACAACTCTTCCTCAATACCCTACAATATTTTCCCAATCAACACTGGTCACCCAGCTGCTACTTGCCAGACCAGGAAACATATGCAAGTACTTACCTATTTTCCGCCAAAAGGGAAGCAAGATAGAGCATATACTTAATTTCCCATTTTAATATGTAAGTCTACTATATTCATAGTTAGAAAAGTCTTTTAGGTATATTTGGAATCTGTATTGAATTTAGTTTATTAATATAATATTGAAGTATGTCTAGTATTTACATCCATCCCAAAAGGAAAGAAAAACCCACCAATTTTTTTTTAGCATCTTTAGATATCAAGGCTTCTTTTTAAAGACAATAAAAAAAATAAAAGTTAGGAGACCTAGCTAACAAGTTAATTTAATCAATGCTGCTACCCTTTAAATAAACACACCTGCCTTGAGTACAGTAGGATTCTTCCCACTTACAATAACAATATGTATTCAAAGAAATCAACCTGAAACAACTAGAATATTTTTAATAATAATAATAATAATAATAATAATAATAATAATAATAATAGTAGTAGTAGTAGTAGTAGTAGTAGTAGTAGTAGTAGTAGTAGTCCTTGGTAAGGACTCCATAGGTAGACAAAAATGCCAAATCCAGCCTGAACATCTGGCTGACTGTGCAATGATTAATAATAATAATAATAATAATAATAATAATAATAATAATAATAATAAAGTTGGAAGGAACCTTGGAGGTCATCTAGTCCAACCCCCTGCTCAGGAAGGAAACCCTATACCATTTTGGACAAATAGCTGTCCAGTCTCTTCTTAAAAACTTCCAGTGTTGGAGCATTCACCGCTCTGGGGGCAGGTTGTTCCATTGGTTAATTGTTCTAACTGTCAGGAAGTTTCTCCTTAGTTCTAGGCTGCTTCTCTCCTTGATTAGTTTCCATCCCTTGCTTCTTGTCCTGCCTCCAGGTGCTTTGGAGAATAGCTTGACTCCCTCTTCTTTGTGGCAACCCCTGAGATATTGGAACATGTCCCCCCTCGTTCTTCTCTTTGTTAAACTAGACACCAATTATTTTCTACCAGATTGCAGTTATATATAGTTAAATTCACTCAGAAAAGAAACTTACCAAATATTGCCAGTGCACCCTTCAGATAATTTTGATATCGTCCTCTTTTATTTTTCTTAATGAGTTCACTCAGGAGAGTTTTGTAACAGGAACCTCCAACTTCAATTTCTCCCTTTTGGCAGATGCAGCTGAACAAAAGAGGGTAATATAAGATGAGATTTGGGCAACTGCCCTATTATTAAGTGTTTCACAGTCAATTCACATTAATTTAGGAATTATTTAGCAGCTACAGTTTTACTCCTTTATTAAAGGGAACACCAGAAAATATAGACTTATTCAAATATTTACATCCAGGGATTCAGATCTGTCACTTCAATTAATATAGGGATAGTTTGAAAAAGAAACAACAAAATTCTCAGTTGCAAATGACATCAATAATATCAAGATCATTTTGGGCATGTACAGGTAGTCATCAACTTACAACCATTCATTTAGTGACCAATCAAAGTTACAAGTTACTGAAAAAAATTGAGTTACGGTCGTTTTTCATACTTATGACTATTGCGTCTTCATGGTCACATGATCAAAATTCAGATACTTGGCAGCTGATTCACATTTATGATGGTTGCAGTGTCAGGGGGTCATATGATCACCTTTTGTGACCTTCTGACAAGCACAGTCAATGGGGAAGCCAGATTGATTTAACAAAGTGTTACTAACTGCAGTGATTCATTTACTAACTGTGGCAAGAAAGGTTGTAACATGAGGCAAAACTCACTTAACAATTGTCTTGCTTAGCAATATAAATTTTGGGCTTAGTTGTAGTCATAAGTCAAGGATTACCTGTGACAAAAGGCTTGGAAAATACCAATATCAACCTTCCTCAATTGTGCCACCCTGATCACGTTAAGCTTCGAACCCAGTGTTGTTTGAGCATTGCAGGAGTAAAAGTCCAACATATCTGAGTATCATATTGGGGAAGGCGGCCCTACTTCCTATCTGAATTTGTCAAATGTCCTAGGTCAGGGGTAGGCAACCTTGGCTCTTTTATGACTCGTGGACTTCAACTCCCAGAATTCCTGAGCCAGCACCGCTGGCTCAGGAATTCTGGGAGTTGAAGTCCACGAGTCATAAAAGAGCCAAGGTTGCCTACCCCTGTCCTAGGTGAACCAGTGTTTCTTTTCTTTCTTATGCCTACATATGTAAAATGAGACGTTAATAATATTGGCATTCCATGCTGGGAAAGATGCAATCTCTGAACATCAATTTTATGGAAAAATGTAATTTTAGTAAAACCTGAAATAGCAGAGTGGAGTTTATTTGGTATCTAAAAATGCAGGTTAGAAGGAGGGTAATAAAATGCTCAAGATGGCTGACTGCCACTGGATTTGCATACAATTCCAAGGAAAGCATATGGTTTTCAAAACATTTCCAAGACAATGATTACTCACTGTAAAAGTGGGTACTACTGAGACTCACAACTAAAGAAGGGCATAATTGAGCTAGTCTTCAAAGGAGAAGCACCATTCTTCTCTTGCAGTCTAGTGGCTCTCAATGAGGCTTGAATGAAGTTGCCACTTGAACAATTTTGCTCCGCATAATGATCATAAAAAGGCCAAAATAGAAAAATGTCTTTCTCAAGGAGAAACATTGCAGACTGCCTTCCAGGTATTGGCTTCTAATATTGGAAATTAAGACTTCCTTTCTTTCATATTTTCATTAATAGAGGATCAGCAGCTTTCCAGTACAAGCTACCAAAGCTTGCTGCTTTCAATAAATAATAGATACTGTACATTTTAGGAATGTTGATGTATTTGCAGCTATTGCCATATTGTATCAAGCATATAATTTGAGTAAGTTTACAGTGTGGATTCCCAAGTCTAAAATAGCTGCCATCAATATTCATCTGTATTCAAAAAATACCCTTCTATTTTTGGATATTTTTCCAATATACTGATTTGTTTTAATTGTAATTTGAAAACATATATTAGGCAAGCTTATGCTTCAGATAAAGTGCTAATACTTTGGGATGTGTTGCTAGGGATGGGAACACAATATGTCAATGGACTGCAAATCCCACCAGTTCCAGCTAGCATAGGCTGATTAAGGATGAGTTGAGTTAATGTCCAGCAACTGGAATTCCATAAACACCCTACTTCTACTCTACTTCTACTCTAATCACACACCTCCAGTAGTTGTGGTAGTCACTTTGGAATGTCAGAGTCTCTTGGCCTTACTTAATGGGTTATTAACAGCCTCGATGACTCCAAATACATACAAATTAGAATGTATCTATGGAAAATTCAGTATGATCAGAGATGCAGTAATGAGGAAAGAGGCAAGTTAAGAATTTACTTACTTATTTGCTATAAATTATATTTCACCCAAGTGTAATTATCCCTTTTTGATAGGAAACTGGGAGAAAGGAAACACAGAAGTACTGTAGATGGTGTTTGTGATCATGGATCTTCTACCTACCCTGTCTGATCTGAGCTTTTTAGGAGAAAAATAGGATAAAACACTTAACAGAAAATTAACACATGTATCAAGAAGTACATTTCACTGGGAACTAGCCCCCCCCTCTCTTTCTCTCTCTCTAAGATAAATAGAAAACATGTAACCAGACTTCTGAATTTAGCATTATAGCAAACAACAGAGATCCAGAATAACTTCTATATTGAATTCATGCTGGGCTTCTGAATTACTTACTTGAAAGACCCATCAGGGGTCGTTTCACACCTTTGTACACTGCTGTCACAATAATTTCTTGGGCATTCATTGGTCAATATGCATTCATTTCTCCCGTCTCTTTTCCTTTGCATTCCTGCTTTGCATTGGCAATTTGGCTGTGGAAATAGAAAGAAGACTAGTCACAATTCCTTAGGTTCCATGCAAGGTTTTAAAGGTAATAACCAACACTTATAAATAATAATAATAATAAAGTTGGAAGAGACCTTGGAGGTCAAATAATGGCATTAAAAATCAGTACAAACCAAAGGCAAAATGGGATCTAGACTCAATATGCATTATTATTATTATTATTATTATTATTATTATTATTATTATACTTAAGCAAAAATATCATGAAATAAACATGAAAGGTTTTTATCAAATATTAAATGAATGAACAAGCAGCAGGAACCATGATCCTGATACATAACATTTTTAAACAAAGGGATTCAGAGTGCATCACCTCTGTTGGCATGTACCTGCTAGACAGAAATCATGGGAGATAGGAGAGCTCTCAAATAACTTGGCCTTATTTCTAACTGTCTGCTTTCATACATGGCTGCTACAATCTAAGTACACTGCAAGGCACCATTTACCTTTTCTGTACCCGTGTCAACACAGTCGGTGGTATATATAGGGCAGCCACCATTATTGAAAAGACAGGGATTCCTGACTTGGCATACTCTCCCATTTCCTTGGTATCCCTCAGCACAAACACACTGATATTTGGTTTCCCCAATAGTCTTGCAAACAGCATGTGGGGAACATGGAGAGGAGTTACAGGGATCCTGGGCTGAAAATAAAGCAAATGAGAAATATTCAGAGCTATAATAATGCAAAGCCAACTTTCAATAATACTAGATTCTGTATCTGAAGAATCAAGCCTTTACCAACCAGAGGAATTAACTGTATCTTAAGATGCAAGCAATTCCCCAACTCTGACTATATGATTCTCCAGAACACCCAAAGACTATAATGCTCAAACATAAACAAAGCCTGTAATATCCAATCAATTTTCTCCATCATGTAGGATTTACCTCTTTATGTTTTTAAAACACTGGGAGTTGGGGTTAGGTCTACCTTAAAACCATTGGCCTAAATCAGACCCAAGTCCAAAGATATAATCCAATCCTTTATTTGCTTACACCTAATGGCCAGATTAAGGATCTTCTAACGTAACAGTTGTATCTTCACAGATCTAGGGTGTAGCTACCCTGAACCTCTTTCTCCCTCCCCATCTCCCTCCAGTTCAGGATTGCAGTCTCTAAATTTGGGCTTCTCTCTGCCCAAAATCTCTTCCTCTGCTTTTCCAGATGCACATTCCTCTGCATGTCTTTCTTTAGAACAAGTGGGAATACTTAGCCCATTCTGGCTGATCTCAAAAAAGTCAGCCTAAATTAGACCTGCTTGCTCACTAGTTTATTTATCTGCAATCTAAGCTACTCCCAATTGAACCTGACTCTGAGTAGCACCTAATTCCACATCTTTGCATATTCAGATCACAGTAAAAACAAAATTAATGTTATATTATTTATATTATAATTAAAGTATATTATATTTATAAAATATAAATCATAACATGGGCCAAATTGATAGGAAAAATATTTTAAAAATGTAAAAAGAAGAACATCCCACTCAAAAGATCAGCAATTGATGCCTCTCATGATGCATGCCTCACTAGTCATAACATTCTGGTCCTATGGCCATGTTTTCATGGACTTTCTGAAACCCTAAGAGGATGAAAGAAGCCACTCTGAAAACTGGGGACAAGCCATTTCAGAAGAGGGGACTTGCAGTTGCAAAGGTACCATCCAACTGTCCACACAGATGGTAATCCCTGAAAAAAGGGATCCAGAATGAGGCTGTCCTACTCAGTCTTTTAAGGCGAGCAGATATTCCTGGGAGAAGGCAGTCCTGCAGATATCCAGTCCCATTTATTACTACTTGGATGACAGACAACTAAGAAATCTCAGGTGTGCAAAATAAAATATGAAGTCAAAAGGAAGAATGAAGTGGTAAACCATTGTGTAGACATAGAGTGAGGGAAAAAAATATTTGATCTCCTGCTGATTTTGTACATTTGCCAACTGACAAAAAAATGATCAGTCTATAATTTTAATGGTAGGTTTATTTTAACAGTGAGAGACAGAATAACAACAAAAAAATCATTTCAAAAAAGTTATAAATTGATTTGCATTTTAATGAATGAAATAAGTATTTGACCCCTTCACAAAACATGACTTAGTACTTGGTGGCAAAACCCTTGTTGGCAATCACAGAGGTCAGACATTTTTTGTAGTTGGCCACCAGGTTTGCACACATCTCAGAAGGGATTTTGTCCCACTCCTCTTTGCAGATCCTCTCCAAGTCATTAAGGTTTTGTGGCTGATGTTTGGCAGCTCAAACCTTCAGCTCTCTCCACAGATTTTCTATGGGATTAAGGTCTGGAGACTGGCTAGGCCACTCCAGGACCTTAATGTGCTTCTTCTTGAGCCACTCCTTTGTTGCCTTGGCCATTTGCTTTGGGTCATTGCCATGCTGGAATACCCATCCACAACCCATTTTCAATTCCCTGGCTGAGGGAAGGAGATTTTCACCCAAGATCTGACAGTACGTGGCCCCATCCATCATCCCTTTAATGTGGTGAAGTTGTCCTGTCCCCTTAGCAGAAAAACATCCCCAAAGCATAATGTCTCCACCTCCATGTTTGACAGTGAAAATGATGTTCTTGGGTCACAGGCAGCAGTACTCCTTCTAACATGGCAGGTTGAGTTGATGCCAAAGAGCTCAATTTTGGTCTCATCTGACCACAACACTTTCACCCAGTTCTCCTCTGAAACATTTAGATGTTCATTGGCAAACTTCAGAAGGGACTGTACATGGGCTTTCTTGAGCAGGGGAGCCTTGTGGGCACTGCAGGATTTCAGTCCTTCACGGCGTACTGTGTTACCAATTGTTTTCTTGGTGACTATGGTCCCAGCTGCCTTGAGATCATTGACAAGATCCTCCCGTATAGTCCTGGGCTGATTCCTCACCATTCTCATGATCATTGAAACTCCATGAGGTAAGATCTTGCATGGAGCCCCAAACTGAGGGAGATTGACAGTTATTTTATGTTTCTTCCATTTGCGAATAATCGCACCAACTGTTGTCACCTTCTCACCAAGCTACTTGGCGATAGTCATATTGCCCATTCCAGTCTTGCTTAGGTCTACAATCTTGTCCCTAACATGCTTGGACAGCTCTTTGGTCTTGGTCATGGTGGAGAGTTTGGAATCTGGTTGATTGATTCCTTCTGTGGACAGAAGCTTCTTTAAGAGAGTGCTCCTAATCTCAGCTCATTATCTGTATAAAAGAAACCCGGAAGCCAGAAATCTTGCTGATTGATAGGGGATCAAATACTTATTTCACTCATTAAAATGCAAATCAGTTTGTAACTTTGTTGAAATGCATTTTTCTGGGTTTTTTCTGTTGTTATTCTGTCTTTCACTGTTAAAATACACTTACCATTAAAATTATAGACTGATCATTTCTTTGTCAGTGGGCAAACGTACAAAATCAGCAGGGGATCAAATACTTTTTCCCCTCACTGTATAATTACCAGAAGCTCAGTTTACTCAAGGGAGACTTGGTTTTATTTTCCTAATATGTTTACATAACACTCTGAAGGGCCTCTAAGTTAATTGTTTATGGACAGAAGGATAACTATCCAGAAAAATAGATAAGAATTGTTGGTTGCCTGGCTTTGACCAAATCCTGTGGTCTTTCTTTTGACTTTGCTCAACTTTATCACACACAGACTATTGTTGACTTTGGCTAGTCCTTCCTTCTCAGGAGCTGAGTGAAGTTTTCAGACACAGGGCTCTTTCCTTTGAAAAAATAAACAAGTACTCTCCCATGAGATTCACAAAAGTCAAAAGATGGGTCTTTAATATATTTATTTTGATCATCAACCTCAGTTGGATGGAACAGGAGCAGGAAGGATATGAGAAAGGAACCTTTTGGAAAACAGGAATAAAATCTTATAATAACAATAATTAAATGAAATTGAATTCACCAATTCCCTGACTTTTTCTTGCTCTGGTTTTGAAAGTGATTTTGGACAAGGTGAAGAAGCTTTAGCAGGAGACAGTAGCTAAACACCTCTTTTATTGCTTTGGGTCTTGTTATAGTTTTCAGTGTCATCGATTGTGAAGCCCTTCTGTATTGCTTGGTGTTACTGGAGTTTAAGAGCCAAAGAAATCAAGAGCAAAGGGGCTTCTATTTGTTGAGTTGATCTCCTGTTATGGCTCTTACTAGCAAAGGATTACCTTCCTTGGTAATTAACAGAATAGATTATGATAATCTATTCTGCATATGGGTCATTTGAAGATACTTCAGTCAGTTCCAAATGTAGGCACCCAATTAATTTCAGAAATAACACAAATGGAATATATGAATAACAGGATTGTGGTATCATGATTTTTTTTCCTGCTTATGTGCTACATCTACTATATTACAGTCATAGAATCAGAGAACTGGAAGGGGACATTTCAAACATCAAGTCCATTTTCTGATCCCACAGAAGTACCTCTGACTGAAGGCTGTCAGGACAAAAGGGCAGGGAGCTTCCACATGATCTTGCTGACCCAGAGTCACTTCCCAAACCTTCTCACATGAACCAAACTAGGTACTCAAACTCTAATGCTTGCATTTTCTTTCTCAAGGAAGAGATTCCTTTGGATCTCTTACATTTTGCTTGTTATTTTGAATTAAGTTTTCAATCAGTCAAGATCATTTTGAATGCTATTTCTCTCTTCTGTAATGCAGTTAGAAACTTCTGAAGGATTTGACTCAGCCTTTCCTCCTTCCAAGGTTGGTAAAATGAGGACGCAGATCGTTAGGGCCAATATGCTGACATTTGTAAACTGCTTAGAGAGGGCTGGAAAGCACTGTGAAGCAGTATATAAGTCTAAGTGCTGTTGCTGTTAATAGAAATGACAAGAAGGGTATAGGCTATGTAGTGAGGTTTGGAGCCTGGCTCCCCACTGCAGATATTCTGTACCTGACATTTTGTATATATCTGCCTTGCTCAAATCCCTCATATTGTAGGGTAAAAATATAAATAAAAGTAAATTCAACATTGGTAAAAAATACCTTGGATTAAAGAAAATCTCTCTGAGTTGGCTGTGCCTGAGAACCTCAAATAACTTCTGAGGACTCCTCAAAAATTAGCCCATTTTTCCTAGTTAAAACACTGAGGTGTGAATTATTTCTAAATCACATTTCATGCCTGCTATGAATTCTTTAGCAGCTTTGTGGTTTTGGGACACTTACATTCTCTGTGCTTTAAGGACTTCCAGAACAGTTTTCCTAACAATGACTGTAGCAACAACTGATCTTTATGTTTACAAGCCCACTGTAATATTCATTTATATTTATTTATTTTAAAGATCTATGTGGCCGCTCATCTTAAGCAACTCCAGACAACTCATCCCAGAAAAGATACAGAAGGTAAAACAGAAGATTAAAATAAAATAATAAAATAAAAATGTAAAACAATTTTCTGATTCTCTCAATTGCTGTGGTTGCAGTCTGCAGGCTGGAGCAGGCTGTGTGGCAGAGCGCCAGTCTCCCCAGTGACAAAACAAATACGCATACAAAGCCCCATTTGTGGTGCTTTTCCGAGGAGGTGGTGTCAAGTGGTAGAGAGAGGGTGTGTGATCCATGTGTGATAGTCTTTATAAAATGCATTAATGATTTACTGCTACAGCAATGGCAGGGAGACATTATAGTCTAGAAGACTAGCCTCCCATATGAAATACCACTTTTCTATTTTCAACAATTAGAGGTGTTTGAAGTGCTATTTAATCCAGAACAAAGCCACCTGTACAAGGAGGAGCATCAACAGGCTGAGGCAAAGCCCAAGTTTCATAGAAGCACAAAAAAACTTTTCAGAAGGAACCACTTGGTGGTTGTGGAATGCTGAATGTTGTTGGGAGGAAAAATGAACAATCAGTTGGCAATAAGAATGATATAGAACAATTTATCCAGCCTGGTTTCCTCCAGGTATCTTGAACTACACGTTCCATCATGCCTTAGAATGTTGATTGACAATGAGTGAAATTTAGTTTAACACTGTTAGGAAAGACTGGAATAGAATGCTCTGGAAGGACACATGGTTGATGGACTGGAACCACTGAAGAACGTTTGCCATTACTTCTTATAGATTCATTTTATGAATTCAGCTTACAAGCATTATAAAGAAAACACATGTGGGGTGGCTTTAAAATGCTCTAACATGCTACATAAATGTTTAAGGTTTTCTCTTACCTAGACAATGTATCCCAATCTTCTGGTAGCCTGGAATACAGTCACACTCAGCTTTCCCATTCTTTACCACACACAGGGAGTTTGCTTCACAGATTACTCCATCACAATTGGGAACTTCTGGAATCACCAAACAGAATTATTTGAAGTTAGAGCCCCTAAAGAACATGAAAATATCTTTTATCTCCATAGCTACAGATATCTGAAAGTTATGTCCCAAGTATGCAAAGGGATTTATGAGGAATTATTCACAGGAGTCCAATCACTTAGATGTGTCTTCATCGGAGAACTGGAATTATATTTTGTGTTCCATTTTGACTGTCTCTTTATAGCTTGTCTATTTTAAAACAGACTCCCCAGGATTAGGAATTTAATTAAAAACACTACATATTTACACACAATCAGAATAGCATGTAATAATTCTTCCCAGTGCTTTTTTTTTGTAAAAAAAAGAAAAAGGTGCCAGAACTCACACATGTCATACAACCCGCCTTGCCTACCCTACAAGGTTCCATCCAAAAAAGGTGCCAGAACTCTGCTCTGGATGTTCTAAGACAAAAAAAGCCCTGATTCTTCCATTCTACTGCTTTAATTTGCTCTCCCACTTTAGAACTAATCCCTCTGCCCATAAACAGCAAATAGAAGTCTCTCTCTCTCTCTCTCTCTCTCTCTCTCTCTCTCTCTCTCTCTCTCTCTCTCTCTC